CTAAACAAATACCAAGCTTTAGCACTGGGGACCACGGCAGATGCCCAGGAAAGCATGTACTGATAGGGAATGAAGATGTTAATATGGCAGCTTAAGTCTCTCCAACATTTATAAATGCAAAAGGCCTTTTTGGGTTCTTGGCTGCTAATGTCTCTCCTCGGTGCCTGTTGTATAGTACCTTAATGTCTTCATGAGAGAAAGCTATCTAAACTGAGTGACAGTCAATTTATTATAACAAAATGTCTCTATATTTCTCTCTCACACACACATGCACACACACCCCTATGAATTCACAAATCAGTATAGTATATATTTTGTGGAAGGGGTTATTTTTGACAAAATGTTAGAATTAAGCTTTCTCCCACACACAATTGATTCTTCCACAGATTTTTTTCACATATTTTGTGTGCAAGTCAATTCTTGATGAATGCTACCGGGAAATTGGCTTTTAAGGCTTCAGAACTTTAATAATTAAAAAGAAAAACATTTGATATTGTTTTAAATGCCAGGCTAGAGTGACCCCCAGTGGTGTGAAGGAATTATTTAAATTGTTGGCCTGGAGCGAAATGAATCACGCATGTGGGTTTGAAGTAACAATTGTGTAGTTCCATTCCAGCATGAATATTTGCTATAAATAATCATATAGCTGTAGGGCTCGTATATTTGTATAATTATACAAAGGAACACCCTTTTAGCAACATTTTTTCTGGTATGGAAAATAGCCTGATCTGGAGTGTTAGGAATAAGATAGAGGGTTTGGACTTTGGTTGGCTTTCATCATTTTATGCCTGTGTCATATTTTCCAACTGTAGGTTTTTCATTTTACAGGCAAATTAAAAGGCATTTTTCTGGATAATGTTTATTATACTTTAGTCAAGTCTTCATATGACACCATTTTCTGTTTCTTCCTTCTGAGATGTCTGTTACTCCCATCTCAATTCCTTTTCTCCATGCCTCAACCATGATTATTCATCAGGTTCTTCTGTAATCCTACCTTACTTTAAAACATGTACACACACACACGCACACACCCCTTTGTTGGCTCCCAGTTAACAGCTATATTTGTCCCTAGGATTTGTTGTAGTTTTATCATATTGATCTTTCAAGGGGTTTGAAGAACAATTAAAAACACTAGAGGGTTTAACTGTCTTGTGTCTCCTGGGATAAATTCCCATTTGTTCCACACGTCAATCACACAAAATGGTTTAAATCCAGCCACTTTATTGACAGGAGCATAGACTGAACCACAAGCTGACAAACTTTTTTTTTTTGGTGGTAGTAACAGTGTAATAATGTGACTCGAGCTAATCCAGCTAATATTAAGCATTGGCAACACTCTGGGAAAACATAACAACCACCTTACTTTGAATAGGAAAGACTTCTTTGGAATACTGTAAATGAAACTTCAAAGTGCTTCACTGTGACCAAATAGCATTCTTTGTAGATATTTAAAAGAAAAAAATAGAGGAACCCAGATGGAAGTCCACGGCTGCCTGTGGCTCTCAAAAGCTTTGCAGCTGCTCTAAGAACCTCTCCAAAAGTTGCCCTCAAAATGTAATAGAAGGGAGAATTATTAACTGTAGATGATTATATTAATGGTCTTTAACTTATTAAAGTTTAATTAGATATGAATTAAAACTATTTTTGTTTTTATCCTCGCCCCATCAACTTTCTTGGAATGTAGCCCTCATGCCAATCCAGAAAAAGTTGTGCACATGTGATTTACATTCATGCCCAACGTACAGGGACATATACAGACCTTCTTCATTCTGGTCCTTCCAGATTTCAGTTATGTTGACTGACAGATTTGGAAGTTGCAGCCTGAATGGATTTGGGAGGGGCTACTGCCCAGCCTTAACACATTCCTCCAGAGCAATGCTTGAGCCTGTGTGTATACCCTTTCTCTGCTATTTTTCCTTCCTTTCCTTGAATGCAAATCTTGATAAATTACTGTCTGGTCTAATCAAATAGTCCTTTGCCTGCAGAGGGATGATCCTGGTCTAATTAGTGGACAAATTGTGACTTGATAAAATTAGGAAGTAATTAATTAAGCTATATGCACAAGCTATATAAACAAGCTGTTTTTTAAAAAAAACATTTTAAGTCAGTGGCAGCAGCAGTAACCAACCTTTCCGTAGCCCAGATGGCTTTTCATCCTTTCTCCTCCTCTCAGCCCTTCTGTAGCAGCTGGGAAAAGGGAAATGTCATACAAACCCACAGAATTTATTTCAGGCAAATGTCTTATAATTGGGGCATCAGAGAAATCTTGTGAAATAAATAAATTAAATTAAAACGAATGTACAGTTTTCTGTGCCCATAGAATATCAATGTATGTGTTTGGAATATTCAAAAAGTATGGTTACATAATATTCAAGTATGATACCCCTCAGGTGGGTGGGCATTGGTTGGACATCATGTAAACCTAGTAAATCTAAGCTAGGGACAAGCAACCTGGCACCCATGAACACCCAATTGTCCTCCAACTGGCTCAGACTCTCAGTCCTACCTGATTTTTTTTTTTAATATACTATTAAGAAACAACAACAAATTAAATAGAAAATTTCTATGCTGCAAAGCAAAGCACCAGCATCTAGCATCATATTTAGTTGTAAGAACATGTAAGAATATGTTTGAGCCCAACAAAAATCCCACTGGAAGGTTTAGAAAGCATCAGGAGAGAGAGTAGCTCACTTTCTAGTAAATGGCCATTTTGTGACTGAACAGAGCAGCCATTTACAGGATAAGCAGGTCCTCCAATGGCAGACATTTTGTGAGCTCCAAATATTCCACATGTGCCCTAGCTCAAAAAGGTTGCCTACATCTTCACTAAGCTATGCCCCAAGCAGAGTATGTGTCAAGAAGAGTTAATTTCTATTTAAATGGTGAAGCTTGATATTTTGTACCCCCTAAGTTCCAATAAAATGGGCCTCTTTCTTGAAGATATTTTTTCAGCCTTAGTAGTTGTTTTAGTTGTGTCTGGATTTTTAGCCTTAAAATTACATTTTAAAAATCTCAAAGTTTTTCATGTACGAAACAACAGTTGCAGCAAGAAATATCAGAAGGCATGTCAGTAGGTAAAAGGAAATGCATCACTTCTGCTTTTGCAAGTATCTTTGGAGAATCACTGGATTGCATGGCCAAAATCCTGAAAGTCAGGTAACATAAACAGCCTTCCAAGACATGCCCTCCTAGATGTATAGGAATTATAGCATCAGACTTCCCAGCCAACAGAAGGGCAGGATCTGTCTGATTACTACAACACTTTTTTTAAATTGTATCTCTCAGTGTATGGGTTACACTATAGATATTTTAAGACATGCTATTTGAGATGGTCAAACTTACCCCTCCTCAACTCATAAATAAATTGAAAATATTTTCCAGTTTTTAGGATTAAATGAAGCCCAGGAAGTCAGAAATTATGGTATTAATTGGTAAGATCAGAATGAGTGCAGCTTGCATGGCTGTCTACACATTTTCCAAAATAATCATATTTCTGTTTTGCAACCTAGAACAATGCTGTTAGAAGGCCTACTGCTATGCTGAATTCTAATTTGGGGTGAGACATAGACTAGCTCATCTTTGGAGCAGACTATAGGCAGGTTTGGTCTACATTGTGCAAACAACACTCTTTTTTTTTAGCACTTTGCCCAGTGATAATTGACTTCTAATTCTAAATTACTTCATTTGAGCTCAGCTGCTTTATCTAGATTTGAGCTAATGCATTTTGGCATTTCTCAGCTGGATCAGACCTTGTCACTAAATTCCTTCCTAAATTCCATTGAGTGTGTATCATAAATTAAATTAAGTAATGATTTTTCATTACATCATTGATTTTGCTATGGTACAAGTGACCGTGTTAGAGTTCCAGAAAACTGAAGTTGGAAATACATTGCTGTGTATTTCTTCAATTTTAAATATAGAAAGTACAGCATACATGTTCCAAATGTGGCACTGATATACAACAACCTATCCACATTTGGGGAAAATAATGGCAGAGGACCTATTTTAGGGAGATATGGGCACTACAACTTTCTTCTACTGAGTTGGACCATTGTTCTGTATCCCATCATTGACTATCCTGTTGGCAGCTTTCCTGCACTTCTACAATCCAAATTCCTTGAACTAGAGTTAAAATAATGGGTTCTACCCACCAGGGAGTTATGTCACTCTCCAAAATGGGCTGCAGTATAGCCCTTTCGCAGTGGAATCAATCCACCTGCTCGAGCAAGTATTTTGAGCAAGGATTCTCAAGTATTTTACTTTTATTATTCTTTCAAAGAAGGATAAATAACTAGTTTTTCTCTTGATATTTTAGGCTACAACTCACATGGTACTTTATATTTGGCCATGCTGGCTAGGGCTAATGGGAGTTGAAGTCCAAAATGTCTGGAGGACACAGGTTGCCTACTCCTAGTGTCATGGGGCATGGTAGGGTAAGGAAAACTGTTTGACATAGTGGGATGAGGTTCCACATGTTCTAATTTGTGATGAAGAGTACAAGAGTTGTTCTTAACAACTCATTTAGTTGCTCTTCCAACTAACTTCCTACCACCTGTAGTTCAATGAAATATGTGTAGGGTAATTAAACGAGGTATTGCATACACTTTTAAACGTAGATCAAATGATCATTTGAACCTTAATTTAGGACATTAGAGTTGGACTGCTGCATCTTTGGACTGGCAAATACTTTATCCTGTCTTCTCCCCCTGTATGTGAGAAGAGGAGAATGAGGACTAATTTTGTTTCTCCTTAGATAACAATTTGGGGAACTCTGGCTTTTTCTAACTAGTTAATCAAGAAATTGGGATATTAAACAATTGTTTCAATCAACCTTAGTTGGAAAAGGCTGCCTTAAATTTTAAGGGAATAGCAATAGCAATATTCAGTAGCACTTTAAAGAGATGCAGCAGGAAAAAATAAATACCAAGACTGTCCATTTTTTTTTCTTTGCAAACTGCCTTGCACATTGAACTGTTGCTTATCTTGTCTTATAACATCAGGGGAAGGAACTTCAGAAGATAGCAGATCAGATTCTGTACATTGCAGTCCCACTCAAAGAAGAGGAACTTCAATCATCTGTGAGTTGTTACCTCTAACATCTCACTATTCAGTTGAGTCAAATTTCAGAGTTGAATCAGATAATTTACCCAAGTAACTTCCAGATCTGTTAGGTTATAATTGCAAGCCATCATAATCCATAGGAAAGCTAATTTATTCTGATGGACCGCGGGTGTGCTTCTCCTCAGCTGCTACCAGTTCTTTTGGCTGGAGAGTCCATGGATCAAACCCATGCAAAATTTGCATTCTATCTCTGACCTACAGCCGTTGTGTTCTGAACAAAACTAACTAAAACACAAAGTTAATAGAAATCCTAGAGGGTTTTTTTTTTTTTTTTACAGGAAGTCTTGCTATGGTGCTCTAAAATTGCTCTGAGATACTTGGGCTCCCTCAGTGAAAAGGGTGTCGCCGCAGGGCGTCACATGCCATGCATCCCAGCTAAAGCAGGATCTCAGAGGCAGATCTTAGTAATTGGGAAAGACTGTGTAGGTGTCTTACCTTTCACACCATGCTAGCTCACAGTTTTCCTAAGAGCATTAAGGCTTCTATAGTATTAGCTCAGGATTAGTTGAATGTTGGCCATTTTGAAACCCAAAGCATCAAGTCTGGAAACATTTCCTGTTCATCCTATATATTTCATTCTCACACAAGGCAGCTCTGTGAGATTATCAGATGCGGGTTGAATCCTTTGGGCTTATTCCCATAGATGTCCCTCTTCAACTGGGCTGGATGATGTGTTTTCTTCCAGTGATTCCCCCCTCCCTGCAAACCCAAAGGACAAAGCTGGGGTTGAAGCTGCTGTGAGACACTCAGTCAGATAAATGTAACACAGCAGGAAGCAGCAACATAGCATCAGTGTGGCTTTGCTTTGATGCTGGAATCACAGCTGGTAGCCAAACCGTGCATGTGTGTGTGTGTGAGTGAGATCTCTGCACATCATGGCTTCCGCAGCAACTGTGATTAATGCAATAGCTGAAGATAAGGAAACTGCATTCCCATTAAAAAACAAAACAAAAAAACTAGGATTTTGATGTACAAAAGGGAATTTCCCAACAAGAAAAATTAGGATTAGCGATATCACCCCTGTATTGGTTGTTATATTCTGCTTGCATAAAGCAATTGTAGAAAAAATGCTGATTATTATACATTTGGAAAGAAATGTGTTGATAGAATTAGCTGTTACCTCATCTCGAGAATTAATTTATATCCAATGCAGTTAGGATGCTGATGCTTCACATTCATACTGTTTTATTTTGCATTATTATCCTGCAATTTCATTAAGAGAGGAGATATAATACAATGAATTTTGTTACAACCAGTCAGTATGTAGAGTACTGAGAATTGGATGCTGGACCTTGGAGCACTAGTGCAGGTGATAGTGTTATGATTCAGCCTTGTCAGCTTTTCCAGACACATCTGCCATCAGCACACTGCATCCTCAAAAGGGCCCATTCCACCAAGATCTATTACTGATACCTTTCCAAGAAAATGTGGAGAGGCCTCTTGGTGAAATCCATAGAGCCCCAAACTTTTAAAAATATGCTATTGTGATGTAGTAATCAGTGTGTTGGACTAGGATCGGGGAGACCCTGGTTCAAATCCATCCTCAGCCAGGGAAACTTGTTGAATGACTTTGGGCTACTCTCTCTCTTAGCCCAACCTACTCATAAGGTTATTACTGTGAGGATAAAAGGAAGGAAGATCTCCATGTAAACGATCTTGAGCTCCTGAAGGAAAGAGGGGATATACAGTAGATCTAACTTAATATCTCAGCTTTCTCCCTCCCAACTATTAGTTTATTATCCCCCAAAGAATTCAGGATTATATATCCACCATTGAATCCTTTATGACTTCAAATATTTCACCAGCCTTCCACAACCTGGTGGTCTCTGGATGCATTGATCTGCAATCAGTATGCCCACTGGGAATGAGTTGAAGTCCAACATGTTCAAAGGACACTAGGTTGATGAAGTTATTGCATACATTTAAGCTTACCTGTACAATCATACATATTATAAATTTCCTTTAAAACAAAGAAAGGGGTTCACAGTGCTTAAATCAGAAAGGAAAGTGAGTGGGGTGGAATACATACAAAAACATGGATACGTGAGAATCAGTTTGAAGTTGTGCATTCTGCTTGTTTATTTTGTACTTCAGTTTTGTGCCTGGAATATTTCAGTGTTAATCTCTTCCGTTCTTTCTCTCTCTCTTTTTATTCCCTTCAGCACCCAAAGACAATGAAGAAAGAGTGTTTAGGGAACGGATGCGCCCCAGGAAGCGCCAGGGGGCAGTGCGACGCAGGGTCCATCAGGTTAATGGGCACAAGTTTATGGCCACCTATCTTAGACAACCAACCTATTGTTCACACTGCCGAGACTTTATATGGTAAATTTTATTATATGGAGACATTTCTCATATCATCTAGCTTGTTTTTTCATGGTAGCACAATTACTATTGTTGCTTTGGCTATTGGAAGTCCTTTGAATTAAAGCTTTCAGGAAAAAAAAAACAATTATTTAATAAAATAAAATAATGGTGTCATTTTATTTGTTGAGAAATGCAAAGGCTCCCTGTACCATTGTTGGTGAGGTATTCCATTATACATTATAAAAGCATATATGGTGGAGTTCAAATTATTTGTACTCTGCAGTCTTATTCTATTTTTTTTTTTTTACTACAATCATGTGAACACATTGCTGGGGGTAAGACTAAATGGATATAGTAGGACTTGCTTCTGAGTAGACATGTACAAGGTTGCATTATAAGGCATTTAGTATAGATTTGCCTTAATTCAAATTTTCTCATTTCCAGTTAAGTGAAAAGGAATCCCATATATGAAGTATATTCAGCCCCAGTGAACTTCATAGCCACTGCTATGCCACTCCAACATGGGGTGGTTGCACAAACTACAGCTCACTGAACTCCTTCAGACTATCTCATCCCATTCGATTCTGTTGCTAAGCAACTGCTGTGCTCAGTGTTTAAGGGAGAAACACTTTGTCTGAACTTGATCAATGTATCATTGCATTGAAGCGAACATCGGTGGGATCTCATTCACTGTTAGAACTGTAATTGAAACACAGCAGAAGGTCATGTTTAGATTAATGTATGATTAATTTGGACTATAGACCCTCTGGCCCTTTCATGCTACATCTGTACCTTTAATAGCTGTGTGGTGAGGAAAAGTTCAGTGATAGCTTTTCTGGTTTCTGCAGTGCTGAAACAAAGAAGGTAGCCATTGCCAAATGTTTTGAAGTTTCACAGCTAATAAAGATGTGAGATGCACTTCAGAGCAAGATTGGCAAAGCCTTATCAATACTAGGAAATGTATGAGTGAACAGACACAATGAAAAAAGAATCGCTTGGTGGCATTTCAGAAAATGTAAGACAGAAAGAATGCAAAGTGAGTTTCATCACTTTGAATTCCATCTGTGCAATTAAAAGGAGAATATTCTTGCATAAATAGGAATGTAGCCAGCATGGTCTTCCATATCGTGTAGTCATTCCTAGCCATTCACTGTATGACAAATGACAATGTGAAATTATATCTACTGTCTATTCCTAATGTGTTCTTTACTGTTCTTTTTTTTAAAAAAAAACAGGGGAGTAATAGGAAAACAAGGGTACCAATGTCAAGGTAAGGAAAATTGTACATTTTATGAATATGAATGGAATCTATAAGGAACCCTGATGATTAGGGGCTTAGAGGAAATGGCTTCCTTGCAGTTTTTTTTTATAAATTCCCAGTAATTTTGGAAGCCCCTACATGGATAATGAAAAACCATGTATAATCACCCTGATCTTTCAGTCCTTTTCAGCAAGCAGAAAAGCTGTCCTGAGTGTGCAGCCTCTAAGATGTCCTGCTGCAGAGAATAATGAAAGATCTGCTGGCCCATTCTCCCTGCGACAGCCTCCATAGACTTTTGGTAGAAGATGAGCCTAATTGAATACGTTCCTCTGAATCCAGCATGATTGTTTGTTTGTTTGTTTCCTTCACTGTTTTTGTAATGCAGACCCCATCTGGGCAGCATACAACAGAGTAAAAATAGAGAATAAACACAAAAAGACATACAATTAATAAAAAGCCCCTAGATTGCCTCCAGAAACATTGAGTTCTGGTTAAAGAACAGTGGAGCAGTGTTGTTTTAACAGCTGCCCACAGTGACTGGTCAGATGTCTTTGGGAAGCTTACAGTCTGGGGTTAAATGCAATTGACATCACTACTGCTCTCCCCCCACCCCTGCCCAACTTACTATGTGAGTAAAAAACATATAGAATATGCAGAAGGTGTTAGTGCAGATAAGATAAACTGATAATCCAATAATATTTGTCACTGGATTCTTAATTTAAAAGTTCTAAGTAAACCAATAGGAAAAATCTACTTGTATTGTTTGCTTATGTTGTTAGGATACCCAGAGTTATGTTGATGAAGATTCTCAGTCATCCAGGTGGAATTATCTGGAGGTTGGGTCATGGCAACTGGACTTCTTTTCTTTTGGTTTGATACGTTTTGCTGCTTGTCCAAGCAGCTTCTTCAGTCTTGAAAGTTTGTTAGGGGGGGCCCCATAA